CAATGTCGTACTCCATGGTGGCAATCAGAACCATGCGACGCTTGCCGCTAGCAGCACCGCCAATCGCCGTGTCGGTCTGGAGGAACCCGGACTTGTTTGCCAGACGCATAAGAGGGTTTGAGTTTTCCTCATCCATGCCACGATTGCGCTTGAACTTCCGGCGCAAAGCCAATGGGATCATCTGGTGCTTCTCGCTCACACCAACCTGGTTGAATTTGACCTTGTAGAAAGATTTCATGAAAGCCCACACACCGGCTGCGCCCGTGATGACGGGGATGATCCAAAAGAGCACATACATGGCGATCTGGGTATTCTGATGCCCGACAGGGAACAACTGGAAGCGCATGGTCCCGTCATCAATGAAAATATTCCACGAGATGTAGGGAGAGGGAGGATGTTCAGTGATGTTGATCAGTGTGGCGGATAGCGAAGAGGGCGGCATGCGATCGAGAACGGAATCATTGTCAGCGTCACCTAGGACCCAACTTTGGTCAGGCTCCCCGTCAGGGTTCATGCCCCAGATGTTCAATTGAGCCTGAGCAGGCCATTCCGCGGTGAAATGGTATTTCCAGAGACCGTCTACGCTGTCCTGCCGGACCTCGTTGTCCAGACCTGCATCGTATCCATACTGGTTGTAAGGACCGTTGAAGAAGACGTGAGGGAAACGGCGTGGGACATTCACGTCCCAGCCCGCGTCTCCCTCTTGGACGTAGTCGCTGCTGCCGGTCCACCGACTCCAATACTCGACGCGGACATGGTTTCCTTTCCAAGACTGTCTCTTGGTTCCCGACCATTCAAGTTCCTCAATAGTGTCGTTTCCGCCCTTGTAGTCCATCCAGTCGGAGAAAGTGGTTCCCCAATTGGTTGAATAGCGATACTTATCAGCACCAGCGGCGTGGTGCTGGATGAAAAGAGTACCATTGGATTCCTCATGGAGCAAACTACTCGAATAGTTTGCACTGCTGAAAATCATGGGATTATCGATCTGGCCGATGCGGAAGAGGAAATGGTCGACCGCATTGGTGGTCGCGTTCCCACTCTCTGTGCTGACATTGTTGACAGTAAGACGATGGATGCCGTTGTAAACGCCTGTCAGGTTGGCAGCCCACAGCCACACCCCGGGGATCTGGCCGGTCCAGCTGGTGTTAGTAGCGGGGACTGACTTGCAGTTGACACTGTTAGAATCGACGGACGGGACCTTTCCAATTTCGGTCGACGACGAAAGGGTAATTGACTTTGTCACCGAGTCGCAATCCATCTCTTCAGAGAAGTAGATTTCGACCTCCACATTCTCGTCTGCGTTCGGGGCCACGGTCGAGCGGATCGGGACATCGTGTCCCGGAGTGAACTTCGTAATCATCGGTCTGGGTTTAGTAAAGCGGGTTTTAGGCACGTAGGCCCGGAATTCATAGGCGTCCATGGTCATATTAGCCAAGCAGCCACTGTATGCAGTCGAGCCGTTCAATCCCAACTTAGTGGGGGAATCGATCAGCTGGTGCTCGTCATACGGGTGGAACAAGTTTTTAACCCAGGTGCCACTATCAAAGGGGGCAATGAGAGCTGTATCATTATCCGAGCAGTCAAACTTATAATCAATGGTGCGGTTCGTGTTGTGGTAAACCAGCCAGACGGGCTGGTTATTTGCATCCGAACCCAAATCCTGCACATCCGCGTTCACATCACGGAGGATGGACCAGAGTCCTGTCTCGGTGGCTGTGCCATTGGAACCGAGATAGTACACGTCTTCGGTGTGATTCGAGAGCTTTTGAATAGTATAGCCATCATTGAGAACAGGGAACTGTTCGCGCATCTGATACATGTGCTTAATGATATTGCGCACAGGATGAGACGGGTCACGATGATCGTAGGCCACTGTGGGGTCATGGCAGCCCTGGCGGCCAGACTCAATGGGCCAGTTGTAGTACTGGGACGATTCCAAGGAGAAACAGCCATGATCCCTCCAAGCGGTGGCAGGAGACATGGCCTGCCGACCGTAGATGTAGTTGGATGCCGTGGCATCCAGAACGTAAAACGCCTGTTCCTCGCCCCAGAGAAGGAGCGGGATTCCGGGGAGCAGAAGAGTCGTGATGTACAGTCCAAGTAACTGGCGCTCCACGCCCTTTTCCACAGTAGGCCAACGGAAGACATCCTGGTTGGTAGCCCCGTACATGTGGCGGGGGTCGAACTTGCCGGTATTCGCATTGACCAGATCATTCGACTGCAGCATGAGATTCCAGGCATCAACCCAGTCGACCGGCACATCGTAACCGGCAGCCAGGTTACCATCCATGCCCAGGAAGCGGGTCAGCGCTCGGTAAATGGAGTAGTGGAAGGCTGCGCCGTCGATCGCCTCATGTCCTACTTCACGCAGGAAATACTGGGCGTCAGAAGTGTTGGTCAGCTTCATGGCTGCCTCCGCCGAGTCAGGAAACTGATTTGGCTGTCTACCTCGGCCCAGGTAGATAGAACCAAAGGTATTACCACCCGTGATTTCGCCCGCAATGAAAAAGTTTTCCTTTCCAACGGCACGGGCACACTCGCGGTACGCATTGGACATATCTCCGAGAGCGTCAACGGTTGCCTGGGTCGCCTTGTCGTACCGGAAACCGTCAATATCGAGGGATTGAATAATAATGCAGGAGTGGCGGATCAAACGCTCGCGCACGGAGGGAACCCATTCACGGAGTCGATCCTGAACGGAGGCGAATTTGGCCAGCTGACGTTGCCAATCGGGGAAGACACCAAAGGCCTCAATATCACCATACTGGTCGAAGTCGCTGTTGTAACATCCGACCAGTTCCTCGGTGACTGAAGCTTGAACGGGGTAGCCATCCTCGAACCAGAAGCGGGGGTAATCGCATGTTTCGTTATAGTCATTGCCAATGTGAAAGTCCACGTAGCGGCGGTCAGTCTTCCACACCGTCTGATGTTCCTTCACGGAGAAAGGGGTAGTGGTGTTCAGATAGCCATCAAATCCGATCAAATCGCCCATCCTAAACATTGAAGGTGAGTATTTTTTGGGTGTGAAACAGAAAAAGGCAGCGGTTAACTTACGTTGCGATGGTGTTATCGAAAATGACATACATGCCCCGCTTATGAATTTCCGTGATGGCGTTGCGCCATGTCTGCAGGTTACCATAGTGTTGATCAAGCAAAGTCGTATCCAAAGCCGAATAACCGTCAGATCCCCAGGGCTGGTTCATCAGGATAGTTCCGGCGAGATAGAGGCCCTAAACGAATGTTAGTACTTGAATCGCAGCATCGCGCAAGCCACGGAGACCGACCTTGATTCCCATGCCCTGCAAGTAATCCAAGGTGTCCAGCAGGCCGGCAACATCACCACCATGGCGCATCTGATTTGAGCGGAGGTCGTGCTCGAACAGGGTGCCATTGATGTTGTCGTTTGTGGGGTCACCGTTGACAAAGCGGTCGAGAAAGAGGGTATAGACGGGGAAACGCCAGTTGTCCGGGGAGGGGAAGTAGTCCCCGGTGTGATTGGGCCATGTTCCCCAATAGTCCGCCGGATTAGTGGCGGACTGGTTCTGATTGAAGTTGTAGTCGACGAGGGACTCATCGTAGGGCCAGGCCGTTGCTGTTGTTGCGAAACAGGCGAGCAGCGTGCCGGAGATAGCCCACTTCATGCTGGGTGGGAAGGTCGAGTCGACCCGGGATGACCACCGGTCAACAAACCAGGAACAAGACGTAGGGCCAGGTCAATGCGAGATTGTTGAGTTGGCCAAAAGCTGGGGAGAAAGAATGGGTTCTGCCTCGTCACCACGGTTGACTGCGATCTCTCTTCGCTGGGTTGGTCAGGTCACTCAATGATAGTCGGATGGGTGGATGATGAATGCGACTGATAACGAGCGATAGATAGGGTGCAGATAACGAGAGAAACACAGCACGCTTCGTTAACGAGTGAAATCTATGGGGAATCACAATGCAACAACAATCAAAACAAGAAACGATGCATGAGATCAGAGATAAGATGGATCCAGCGAGAGAGGGGAGAAAGAAGAAGTGGAAGAGGGAAGGAGAAAGAGAAAAGATGATACGAGGAATAGGAGGAAGGAGAAAGTGTCAGAGGGGAAGGATGGATGATGGGGACAAAGGCGAGAAAGCCAAATGGAGAAAAAAGCTAATCAGTCCAACTAATAGTAAGATAGTACTGAACTACTAGACTAGCAGCGATGCTGAGGCTCAGCAATGAGAGGCTGGATTGGGGGCACACATCGATATCCGCGATAGTGGATCGAGGGGAAGGGACTAAGGGACGATGAAATGAAAAATAGAAAAAAAAAAGAAGCAGACGAGACGTCTCGTCTTGTCTCGTCGATGTGTATTTTGCTAATAATAACCCCAAGCTGACTGGAGGACCACTCTGAATGGCTCCCTGGTGCCAGCTCACTCGTATAGGATTTGTTCCCCGGGTAAGTTATCGAATCCACGCCGGAGGGACTTCTAGCCTTGTCCAGAGCCAGAGGGAGGGGCGATTTCCCTTTGGCTATGACGGAATACTTTTTGCCTGCTAAGAGTGGACTAGACCGCGGCAGTGCGGTGCAAAGACCAAAAGAGGGAATTTAAAAATAAGTATTGAAAAATTGAAAATTTAGAAGGGTTGGAAGGAAAAAAAAAAAATAAGAATAAAAATGAATAACGGAAGCGGACCATTGGGTGGTCCGACAGCCATCCCATTGAAAAAAAAAAAAAAACATGAGCCACTCTCGTATATAGTGAGTACTAGGCTATTCGGAGCCGTTAGATACTTAGTAGGTTTCCTCTCGGACCGGTAGGCATTTTACGGTGGAACTCAAGGGGCAGTTGGAACTGGATCACTGAATGTCTTAAAAAGAAGGGTTCTTCCGCCCACTTGATACCGCCAGGCCCTCACCAATCCCCTTTGAGATCTAGTCTCCTCCCTCCCTTTAGTCCCCCCGAAAAACTGGACCCTCCCTGGTCCCTCCGAGGAGTTTCTTATTGTTCCCATCGCCCATATTGGTACTATGGGAAACAAGCGAAGACCCCTTCTTCTGCTGCTACTGCTGCTGCTACTGCTGTTGCTTCTGACGGTAACCTCTACTCGGCCAAGGGTGCCAGGTCGTATTCACGCCCAAGCCAAACGATACCTGAAGAGGCAGCAATACGGTGGCGTGCAGCCAATCTCGGTAACGAAAAAACTCTATTGGCCCTCTTCTAAGACACTCTACACAATAGTGCAGGTGATGTCTTACTGTCATCAAGCTGCTCAATTTTTCTCGATCTCTTTGGGAAGAAATTTGGGTCTGATAAGGACAGACCCTCCCGATTGGTGGTGGAGGGTCCGGGATTCGACTACTTGTCTACTAGTGGTAGTATACTGGAAAGAAGTGATAGAGGTGATACCGTAATAGTGGTGATGGTGGTGGTAGTTGGTAGTCATTTCTTGTATGCTTGAGTTTTCAGGTTTATAAAGGGTCAGACCTATACCGTTATCTCCTGCCCTTCACTCGCAGAAGGGGGAGGTGAGCCATCCCATGCATGCAGCGGGCTTGGTGGTGTGTTTGTTCCTGAATATGGTGTGTGTGTGTATTTTTTGGGGCCAACAGTATTCCCAATCAGCTTCAATCCGCCAACTTCCGTGGCGTTGACTTCGGGCCTCCAACTGCAAAAGGGTCAGAGAAAGAAAGGAAAGGCAAAGAAAAGGAAAAAGACCAAAAATACCGACGAGCCAGTCATAACCCGGAGATGATTCCGTGGTTGATCCCGAAGCGATCCTGACCGGTTGAAAGTTTCCAGAAAGCTGTCACCGACCGAGAGCGGGCCCCTGCACTCTTTGCCTGCTATTTTGGCTGTTTTGCCCGGTTCGACTGCCAAGCCTCTGCGTCACTTTTTTTTTTTACTCCCTCGCAGCGGAGAAAGCGAAAAACACAAAAATAACAGGCAATAAGAAACAGGAAATTTTGACGCTGGCCTTGCCACTTATTTTCTTTTCTTTCCAACGAGCCTGAGGAATGATAAGCATGTCATCCACAAACAACGCTCGCCCCTGCAGAAGCATACTTCTACTTTCCACTCCTTCGAGGCCACATAGACCCGTAAGGTACACAAGTCAGTAAGATGCCAGAAAGTTGTGTTGGAGCCACGGAGGCCATCCTGGCCAGGCGGGAGTGGGTCTCCGGCGAAGGATTTACGGGATCGCAGATTCAAATCTGGATGGTCTTTGGTCGGGTTCCCGTGAGGCTGGCAGCCACCTTGGGTTTTTGGAGAGAGGGTCTACTTACTAGACTAGTTTGGACCCTTGGCATCCCGGTGTGCTATCTTTTCACAATTCACACAGCACCGAACCGAGTTAGATAGACGGGGCTAGTCTTCTTTGAGCCTCGCGGAGGACTAACGAAGTACCTAAGTGGTGACTACTACTGATTTCTGCTAAAGGTCTGATCGGATACACCACACTACGAGAAATCGGGCCATGCATGTCTTACTTGGTTTTATTCCCATCCCTCGCGGGCCAATGGTCTCCTGCAAATTGATTATCAGCCAGGGCAGAGATCACCCAGGAGCGAACAAGAAAATTTCCGAGCAACACCACCGTTTCCAATAATAAGGACTTATTCCTGTTTTTTTCTTGCTCCCTGGCCCCCACTTGGCGGTAAGGTACTGTCAGTACTATGAAACTTGCAGCGTTCTGATGGTAATTTGAAATCCAGGCTGCTGATTCGGGCAATGCCGCTTTTCCCAATCCTGCCAGCCAAGCCCGCCGCCAAGACCCTGGCGGTTGGACCTTGGCTCGCCTGGAAAAAAGAAATAATGAGAAGATAAATCAAATTTGCTCTCGGACAGGTTGTTTCCTCTTATCGGGCTGCTCTGTGTGCCTGAACCTTGCATTAGATATGAAGTCTATGAAGTCAGTCAACTTATGCAGACGAGGAAAATATCTCAATCACATATCTCCTGCCAAGCATCTGGGGTCGCCCGTCAAGGAACATGGCGAGAAGAATGAGCCAAGCTTTGCCCTCGTTCTCATTTCCCCTTTGTCCACCACGCGATCTCGGTCCAGAATTTGGGGGTTTGGAGCAGCTTCGTGCTTTCTCGGACCAGTATATCCGCTGTTGTCTGACTGTCTCACATATTCTCGAGTGCTCACAATGCTCCCCTGATGAACTAATTATACTAGTTGGCTAGTCTTCACTTGGTCAGGGTTCAGCGGTGGAGTCCCTGGCCATCCTCATTGGATCACCAAATAGCCTAAAACGGTGTCTTTCCGGAGATTCCAAGTAGGGCAGACACCAGAATGGTTCTACTAAGTACTAAACTACTAGTCAAGAACATGTCTCACTGGCCCCCTCTTCTTCCCCATTTCGACCCATCGGAATGGCCGGTTCGCTCATCTGCCGCTCTTTGTGCCTGGCAGAAGCATTAGCCCCAGCTCGTGGCGGCGTGACAGGCTTGGTCTTGGAGAAATCAGAAGCCATTCCTTCGCCGGAAAACTCGTGCCACCGTTGACGCCAGTGGTGACATCTGCAGGGGGAGGGGTTGAGGAGAAATGCCCCCTCTTGAAGCCAATGGGAAGGACAAGCTGGCAAACCAAGGAAGTGGTATTCTTCTAGTCAATAATCTGGGGGAGCTGCAAGAGGGAACCTCGGTGCCACCACCGGCAGGGATCAATGGTTCCTGGTCCTGCGCGGGAGTCGCCCTGGGGTTCCGGGAAAATCTTAAAGATCAGACTTCGAGGGATCAGGGCGACGCCTCTGTTGCCTTTCACACATGGCTGAAGATGAGGATGGTGGTGATCATGATAAGGAGGATAACGTATCTACTATCAATCTTTACCCTTTTCTCCGATTGGCAATTTCCCTTCGCCACCTTGAGTTATATGATACTAACCCAGATGCACTGCACTGCACACTCATTGGTCCCCTCTCGAATTGAACTAAAAAGCAGGCTAGTTTACTTGTTTATCATCCCATCCAGGGGATCCGGCCTGAATGCAGTTAGTGAGGTCCCCTTGCTGCTCGCTCCACCGGCATTTTGCACCTGCACCTGATGTTCAGTCAAGCTCTTCCCCAGCATTCCACTTCTTCTCGCTTCCCCTCTTCTCTCTCTTCTCCTCCTCCTCCTCCTCCTCCTCTCCTCTCTTCTCCTCTCCTTTCCTTTCCCTTCCTTCCTCCTCGCTCATTCTTTCGCTCTCGTCACATCAACCAATGTATCCATCACTGAAGTGACCCCCCTCTTCCTGGGCTTTTCCCTTGCCATTCATTCTTCCTTTGGATCTGACCATCGCCATTCTTTCTCTACATTTGGGTCCCACTTCTTTTGTCACTCTTTGATCTCTTGCCGAGCCCGTATCCTTCCTTTTAGCGTAAACGGCTATCTCCCAGCATACCACATTCGTCTTATCGTGTCTCCAAGTCGGCCCCGCAGTTGCTCGGCAGGTACATGTGAGCATCTGTATCATTGATATAAATTACATTTTCCAGTGACTGTAGCCATGGTCTCAATGTCAGCCCTGCGACACGGGCTTGGGGTCCTCTATCTTGCTGGCTGGCTGGGGGCGTCGCTGGCTGCCACCACCGAGCAATGGAAGTCTCGGTCAGTCTATCAGACCATGACGGATCGCTTCGCACGCACTGATGGCTCAACCACCTCCCCCTGCAACACCACAGAGGGTCTGTACTGTGGTGGCACCTGGCGCGGCATGATCAACCACCTCGACTACATCCAGGGAATGGGCTTTGATGCCGTCATGATCTCCCCTATCATCGAAAACGTCGAAGGTCGCGTGGAGTATGGAGAAGCCTATCACGGCTATTGGCCCTTGGACCTGTACTCTCTCAACTCGCATTTTGGTACGCACCAGGATCTGCTCGATCTGAGTGACGCCCTGCATGCTCGCGACATGTATCTGATGATGGACACGGTCATCAACAACATGGCTTACATCACCAATGGCTCCGACCCCGCCACCCACATCGACTACTCAACCCTCACCCCCTTCAACAGCTCGTCTTACTATCATCCGTACTGTAAGATCACCGACTGGAATAACTTCACCAACGCCCAGCTATGCCAGACCGGTGACAACATTGTGGCCCTGCCCGATCTGTATACCGAGCATGCCGAGGTTCAAGAAACGCTGAGCAACTGGGCAAAGGATGTCATATCCACCTATTCCATTGACGGTCTCCGCATCGATGCAGCAAAGCATGTGAACCCAGGCTTTCTGAAGAATTTCGGCGATGCTTTGGATATCTTCATGACTGGCGAAGTGCTGCAGCAAGAGGTCAGCACGATCTGCGATTACCAGAACAACTACATCGGCAGTCTCCCGAATTATCCCGTCTACTACGCCATGTTGAAGGCCTTCACCCTGGGCAACACCAGCGCCCTGGCCACTCAAGTCCAGGAGATGAAGAATTCCTGCCATGATGTGACCGCCTTATCCTCGTTCTCTGAAAACCACGATGTCGCACGATTTGCCAGCATGAACCCGGACATGGCTGTATGGACCCTTGAACCCTTGGAAGCATTCGCTAGCTAACATTCTGTCCCATTAGCTCGCGAAGAATATTCTTACATTCACTCTTCTCGCCGATGGTGTACCCATGATTTATCAAGGTCAGGAGCAGCATTTGGATGGCCCCGGCAGTCCCAAGAACCGAGAAGCGATCTGGCTCACTGAGTACAATACCGACGCCGAGCTCTACAAATTGATCGGCAAGTTGAATGCCATCCGGAAGCACGCCTACCGACTCGATAATCACTATCCGGATGTTCAGACGTACCCCATCTTCGAGGGTGGCAGTGAACTGGGATTCCGCAAGGGAGTCGAAGGCCGGCAAGTGGTCATGCTTCTGTCCACGCAGGGCACCAACAGCAGCGCCTACAACCTCTCGATGCCGGTGAGTTTCACGGGCGGCACGGTTGTGACCGAGATTCTGAACTGCATCAACTACACGGTCAATGCCCAGAGTGAACTCGTGGTTCCGATGGATAAAGGAGAGCCGCGCGTGTTCTTCCCAGCGGATCTGATGCCCGGCAGTGGGCTGTGCGGACTTCCTGTCGCAAATGTCACCTATGCTGCCTTGAAGACGCAGGGTGCAGCGGCGGCCGAGGCTGCCTTGTCGCTGGGCATCAAGACTGATGCAACTTCTAGTGCTTTGCTTTCCCTGGTGCTGTCTGTGGTAGCGGGTCTGCTTGTGGGGATGTGGTAATATGCTGATAGCTACAGATGGGATGAGATATATTATCTGTTTCTGTGTTCTTTGTATGTATTTGCAGTAACGATACCCTTACCTAGTATTTTGTATATATTCAACTTCACAATATTCACTACCACCTACATATACTCGCGGTAACCGCGTCTCGCTTTTCCACATTTAGTAAATAGTCCTTCAGCACTAAGCAATAAACAGAATAGAGACAACTAAAAAAGCAGTACAATATATATAGATCACCTATATACTAAATCCCAGACAATGACCAAAACGGGTACCTGCATCCAACAGCTGTTGACGATCACCGTGGCTGGCTGATCCTCTCCCAACACTAATCTGGAGGCAAATCCGTTCGGCCTCGGTAGGGTTCCGAGCAAAACCGCCCGGGCTAAAAATACTCGGTCATCAGCGAAAAAAACGGCCCACTTCAGGACCCATAGAAAATTGGAATGAAGTCATGCACAACGTGTTAACTAACTGACTAGCTAGCTAACCAGCTATTCTTAGTGTTGGCACATTAGCTATTCTAAACATTCTTTGTGAGCTCAGCTCCGTCGCTGCAATCAACTCTTCACCTACCATCCACCATCCACCATCCATCCAGGCTACATGGACACAAACACAGTAAACTACTAGCTAATCCCTCCCTCTTCGCCACAGTAAAAAAAAAAATCCTCACCACCACCACAAACCCACAAAGTACCCCCAAGCACAAGAAGAGCAAGACTCCAAACAAACAACATGTTCAGCTTCCTCCCATGCTTCAAAACCCGGCGACAACGCACCAAATCCCAAACTCAATCCCAAAAGCAAATAGAGGGTTAGCAACCACCCAATCACCCCCAATTACCCAGAAATCAACCCATAGTAATAACATATCAATAGAAAAAGCCAACGCCATAGAATCCCTCCCTTCATGGCACTCCCCCACGGAAAACACCCTCCTCTTCCAAGCCTTCGAATGGCACGTCCCTACCACCCCCAACACCCCAGATAAGCGCAGCCACTGGCGCCGACTCCAGCATGCCCTGCCCGCTATCCATTCCCTCGGCGTAACCAGCATCTGGATTCCGCCGGGATGCAAGGGCATGGACGCCAACGGCAATGGGTATGATATCTACGATTTATATGATCTGGGGGAGTTTGATCAGAAGGGAGCGGTGGGAACGAAATGGGGTACGCGCGCGGAATTAGAGGATCTGCTGAGGGAGGCGAGTGCCCTGGGCGTAGGGATATTGTGGGATGCGGTGTTGAATCATAAGGCTGGGGCGGATGGCGTGGAGAGGTTCGAGGGTGTGAGGGTTGGTGATGATCGTATTTCTCCCTATTTCCTATCTATTGTGTGTGAGTGTCATGATTACTGATACGTATTCTCAGGACGAGATATTGAAGATGGTGATCCCCAAGAAATTGCAGGCTGGACATCCTTCACCTTCCCCGGCCGGGGTACCACCTACAGTCCCCTGCAATACCACTGGCACCACTTCTCTGGAGTAGACTGGGACGACGCCCACCAACGCAAAGCAATCTACAAGATCCTGGACCCGTCCCGGCCGGACAAGAACTGGGCTCAGGATGTCGGCACAGATGAGAACGGCAACTACGATTACCTCATGTTCGCGGATCTGGATTACTCCCACCCGGAGGTTCGGGAGGATGTGCTGCGCTGGGCGAAATGGATTATGTCTGTGCTGCCGCTGAGTGGGATGCGGCTAGATGCGGCGAAGCATTTCTCAACGGCGTTTCAGAGGGAGTTTATTGATTGTGTGAGAAGTCAGGCGGGGGATAGGAAGGTGTTCGTCATTGGGGAGTATTGGAGTGGGGAGTTGAGGGCGCTGCTGAGGTATCTGGAGGAGATGGAGTATCGGGTTGCGGTGGTGGATGTGCCGCTGGTGGAGAGGTTCTCGGGGTTGTCGAGGACCAGGAGGGCGGATTTGAGGGGGGTGTTGAAGGGGACGTTGATGGAGGCTAGGCCGGGGAATGCGTTGGTGAGTTATCTTTCCTCTTGTTTGGTGGAATTGGAAAGACTAATGAGGTGTGTTGTGTAGACGTTTGTTACGAATCATGATACGGTGAGTACATCTCCTTCTTTGGAGTGATGGTATGTGGATGGATGCTGAACTGATATGACAACTCAGCAACCGGGACAAATGCTCGAGGTGAGTACATACATTCATTAAGTTTCTAATGACGAGCCACGATTTAACATCTATCAGAACATAGTCGAACCCACCTTCAAACCCCTCGCCTACGCCCTAATCCTCCTCCGCCAAGGAGGCAACCCATGTGTCTTCTACGGCGACCTCTACGGCAGCTGCGACGGTGGCCAGTCTCCAATCCCGGCCTGCGAAGGCCAACTCCCAATTTTCATGCGTGCGCGCAAATGGTACGCCTACGGCGAACAGCAGGACTACTTTGACCAGCCCAACTGCATTGGTAAGTCCGTCCCTTCCTCTCTGTGACACGATCTCTCATGAATGGAAGGTTTCATCCGCTACGGCAACGCCGCTCACCCCTCCGGGCTGGCCTGCGTCATGAGCAACGGCGGACCAGCCACAAAGCGCATGTACGTGGGTCGGAAACATGCAGGTGAGAAGTGGACGGATCTGCTGCAGCGAGACGATGATCACCCGTCTGTCACGGTGATTGATGAGATGGGGTACGGGGAGTTTCCGGTCCAGGGGATGAGGGTGGGTGTTTGGGTGGATAGTGCGGCGGATGGCCGAGGGTGTATGAAGGAGCCTTTGTAAGTCTCTACCTTTACTCTTGCTTGATTTGGGTATATGTTTGAAACTGACACAGGGGATATTGGAATAGTGACGTCGATATTTATGGTAGTCAAGCATGCTAGCTGACTTAGGACGGACCATTATTGAAATGAAATTGGTCCTAGTATCCATGTGTTCTAAGACATGATGTATATTATTATCACTTTCAATATGTAACTATCTATTAGACTAGTTTTACTATAGTAAGACAGCGTGACAAGATAATCAGACAAGACTATAATAATATATCCACACAAACTAGTTTAGACAACTCCATATATTCTAATACCTCCAAGACACACACAGAAAAACACACAAAAATAACCCAAGACATAAGACACAATCTCACCCAAAAATAATCCATCCATTCATCCAAGCGAGCAAACCAAACCCAACCCCCAAAAGAGAAATATTCTGTACTGGTCCGTCCGTGGCACCGACCCTCAGAGGTCTTTACCCAATACAGTAACCCATTCGGTGCTGCCCGACAAACGGTAACATTACCGTGATCAACATCCGGAACTTCCTACCCGTATTTTTCAATTCCAGCAACTTTTACTAAGGTTTCTGGTATTTGCCATGCCCTACAGGGTCTGGGTTGTGTCTGACTGTCGGGGTCATTCCCGAAAGGGTCCATCCAGCGCCGAGGGACCCATGGATCATCAACATCTAGCTGCGCATTGTAGTAATTGGGTTCTCTCTCGGACATGTTCTGAATTGGGAATTCTATCTACCTTGCCTATTCTTCGGTAGGAGTTGCCGGGCCATGGATGTCCCTTTCTCTCACTCTCGCTGCCTAACGTGCAGCGCACATGGTTCGACCGGTCGCATGGAACGGAACCAACCATCCAAGGATTTTAATCCATTCCATCCAGCTTGAACCCTACTTGACTACTTTGTAGATTAATGCCGAACCGTGGATACCATCTACAAGGATCTTCTTCGGTGATAAAATAAAGTAATGTAATGGATATATGCTATAGAACCATTAAGTAATAACTAGCTTGGCTAGAAAGTATGTATCTATACAAGCAATAAAACTGCGGTATTGCTTTCAAATCACCAATCAGGTGATAGACGAGAAGAGAAACTCCGTCACTCGTTCACATCCTCACCCCACCGCACTACATCTCAGCCATCCACAAATAGAACGCTTTGGGGATGGTTTACAACTGCATAGCCACAACACCCATCACCAAGCCCGCAGCAACAGACATCGGCGCAGCAAGAGCCATACCGGCGCCGGTGGAGACGGGAGCAGTAGTCTCGGTACCGCTGGCAGAGGCAGTAGAAGTACCCGAGGCAGAGGCAGAACGAGTGGAGGATGCTGTAGTCGACAGAGTGTTAGCGCCCGAGGTAGTAGTGGTTAGTTTGCTGGTGCTGCTGCTGGAGGTGGAGCTTGTGCTGGTGCTTGCAGTGGTGATGGAGCTGGATCCAGTGGAGGATGAGGAAGAGGTGGAGGAGGTATCAGTACCAGTAGAAGTGCCAGTAGAGGAAGAGGAAGAGGAAGAGGCGGAGGTAGTCATGGAGGCGCTGGCGGTGGTGGTGGAGCTGGAAGCACCCTCGACGGTGAACTGCTCGGACTGCGCGAGAATACCGCTGTTCGTGGAGGAGGTGGAGAGGAGGTTGATTTGGTAGCCGGAGCTATTTTTGTTGTTAGTATGGTGGTGATGGTGGATGAAGTGTAGACAAGTGGAGGAACATACCCATCAGTGACGCCGGACAGGCCGGACACAGTGTAAGATCCCTTGGAGGTGTCGACATCAGAGGCGACCTTCTTCTCTACAGTGGGGTAGACGGCGTTGTTGACCAGGTAGAGGTCGAAGGTGGAGGGGTCAGTCCTGTGCATGGTGGTTAGTATGTGGTGTGATTTAGGGCTGATAAGGGAAAGAGGGGACGGGACATACGAGACGGAATCCCAGGTCACGGTGAAGGAGCTGGAGAGGTCGACATCTTCGCCCTTCTTGGGGGAGGTAACCTCGAGGGCTAGATAAATGTTAGAGAACTGTATCGGAGAATTGAATGGGAAGATAAGAGTGTAGACTAACCGCCGACGAAGGCAGCCAGAGGCAGAAGAGACACGGCGTAAGAGAGACGCATGGTTGCAGAGGTGAATGAATTAAAGAAGGGGAAAGGGTATCAATTGGATATTATGATAGAAGAAAGATAGAAGAATGATGGAAGGAATCAAGACAGAGAAAAAAAAAGTCGGAAGACACCCTGGTTAAATAGAAGTGTTAATGGGTATCCAGTTTGCCATCGTGTCTCACAAATACTGCTAGTTAGTTCATGGCCGAGATGACCGAATCTTCAATCAACGGGTTCAGTTCAGTTCAGTCTTAGCCGCCCCAAAGAGAATCCCGGAGAATGAACCGGATCCATTACATGACAACAATAACAACAACACCAACTAGACTACTGCTACTACTTACTAGTACACTAAGTCAAGTAGATCCTCCGATGGTCTGTGAGTGGGCGGCTTCTCAATACTTTGGATCATTTTGAAAAACAGGCATGCTATATATAGCCAGCTGGTCAGGAACCAGGGAACGGGGCGAACGGGGGATGGTGAGGTTTCTGATGACAGGCAATCGATGCTGGCGCAGGATTGGGCTGGTTTCAGGTGGACAGGATGCAGCGTGGACCAATAGACACTCGATTGATAACGCATGGGGCTATTAGCTTATGCGGATAGAATATGAGGAAAAAAGGAAAGAAAAGTAGGGTAGAGTGGAAAAGACCTGTCAGAATCATCTCTCCCTCTGTCTCTTTCTCGCTCTTACTCACTCTCTTTTTCTCCATTTCTCCAATTAATTTATTTCTCTAATCCTCGCACCGCCACTCTTCGTAGTCCCCATCTTGGCAGAGAATCCCCCATGCATAATAATAATAATAATAATTCAATCCTCAACTGCTCAGGTCCAAACTCAAAATCTCGACCAGCACAGGATACTAACAATCCCTCCCCCTCCCATCAGCCCATCCTAACCTCCCCGTAAGTAGACCTCCCATATTACTTCCCACGTCGCACTTTGTGCTTCCTTCCTTATTAATGTTGGAATTCGTCATCCTCACACGATAACTTGTTTTTGCTGGACGCAAGGGGGCTCCACTGGGTGCCTTATCAAGCCTGGCGGTTAACCATCTAACCACTTTGTAACTAGCCATAACCAACTAAATCAATAGAGACTAACCAACTTCATACCTAGTAGTATTCTTACCTCTCTATCTCCCCGCCCAATCAACACAGCACGATTGACTCTTTGTTCAATGCGGGAAAGAATGAACCCTCCCTCCCACCTATTTTAACTCCGCGTCTTCGTATTCCCTGATAAAGCCGAAATTGAGTGGCTGGCACTGCCCTTTCCCTTTTTCTTTTCTTTGACTGCAGGAACACACTTTCTTTCCTTTTCCCCCCTAAATTGCAGATTTCGTTGCACAAGGAACGATACTGTGCAACATACCCTCACTGTAGATGTAATGTATTGTCGATCTATTTACTGTCGCCCGATTGAAAATATGGAGTTAGTAGAGCGGGGTAAATATCTGTATCTCAGACGGATGGCATTAGATTCCACTTTCTGGTCGAGGATCTTGGTTGTGACTGTGTACTGTGGACCGTTAGATATGTAATCTAACTATAACAACTAAAGTTATCGACGCATATTCATCTATCTGCGACGCTCTGAACACGTATTGATCTTTGGGTTGACGGTGGGGAGTGTCGGATGCGATCTACTAAATTGGACCACCAGATATAACATTGAATCAAAATCTTCAATGATGATAACCGATTGTAAAACGTATGAAGATTCGCATCCTGAATCTTCTATCCCAGCCCCTGTTGCAGGGTTGCTACACACATGTTGTGTTAGCTAGGTAAGTGCTTACTAGCAGTCAGGGGCGCCCGACGTGATACAATTCATCCGATTGTAATGTATTTGACGCATCGCGAAGATGATTCGGTGGTGTGAGATGTTACTCTTACGAGGTATACTTCAATCCTTCTGATAAGTGCATTAAGTAGTCATTATCCTAACATACATTTGCAGACAACTAATTACTCATTTCTCATGAACATAGACCATTTCGTCATGCCAATCTACACCCTCATCCGAGTTTAAGGATTGAGGCTGTTTACCAGGCGACCGTCGAGCTCAGCCCATCCAACTCGCGCTGGTAGTTCCGGTGCTGTGCAATCTGGTAGAAGAACATACCCACGAAATCCTTGGCGCCCTTCGCGATCTGCACGCTTTCCTTGAAGCTCTCTGGCTTCTGCACGCCACCGGCCGTGACTACGCCATACCATTCCACGGGCTGTGGCTTGGAGCTGGTGGCCACTTGCACATCTAGCACACTACCCAGCGCCTCCTTGATTAGCTCGGCCGCTTCACCTGTGCCAGCCAGTGGCTTCAGGTGGCCAAATGTCTCGGCGATCCAGTACCGCATCTGCCCGTTCTTCCGGAGCGTCTCCACATGCGGGCCACCGGGAATGAACGTGGCATCAAACATGGTTGATCGCTGTCCGTCATACTGGTGGTCGGCGATGATGCCCTGCGATGTCTCCTTCGATTCCCCGTCGGCATAGATGGGCGACCGCTTGGTGCCGATGACAAACGGCAGAGCACCCGCGACCTTCACAGCGGTCTGAATGCCCTTGAAGGCCACCGGGTCGTATCCGTCGCCAATTATGATGGCAATGCGCCGACTGGCAATGGTCGGAGACTTGGGGGGAAATTCGGTCTGGGAAACATGAATCGTCTTCCGGCCGTGGTTGGCCATGAGGGCCTTTTGAGGAATCGGGGCGCCCACGACTTCCGCCACCTGCTGCGCTAGGGTCAGGTCGATCTCCGCCAGGCGCTTGCCGGCCAGGCGCTCGTAGACGATAGGGTCATCGCAGTGGTCGAGCTCGAACCCAAAAGCCTTGACAATGTGCAGCTTCTCGTGCTCCGACATGGAGTTGTAAAAGAGTTGGGCCTGGGAATGATGCTCGCGGAACTTGGGGCTCAACGCGCGCCTCTTGCGGCCTTGTACCGGCTCGGGGTATGACTCGAAGCCGCCACCCTTGGGAGCAGGCTCGTCCGGCTTTGCCGCCTCGAAGCGGTTGGGCCAGTAGTTGACGGTACCCTTAGTGATGCGGTGTTTCATGGCACCGTCGCGGTTGTGGTTCAGCACAGGGCAGACGGGGCGGTTGATGGGCAACTCCTCCCAATTGATGCCGAGACGGCTAATCTGGGTGTCGAAATAGGAGAAGTTACGGCCCTGAAGAAGAGGGTCATCGGAGAAGTCGATACCGGGAACAATGTGTGATGTACAGAATGCAACCTGCTCTGTCTGTGGGAAGAATTCATCCACGTTGCGGTTGAGTTCTAACACACCAATGGTGCGGGGAGGGACCAGGTCCTCTGGCCAGATCTTGGTCGCATCGAGAATGTCGAACTCAAAGTCATCCTGTTTCTCTTCAGGGATAGTTTGGATAGACAGGTCCCATTTCGGATATGCGCCGTTGTCAATGGCCTCCATCAAATCCTTGCGATGGAAATCCGGGTCTTGACCGGCCAGCTTCAGAGCTTCATCCCAGACGAATGAATGCACGCCTAGGTGAGGCGTCCAAATGAATTTGACAAAGTGGCGCTTGCCCTCCTTATTGATAAGCGAAAAAGTGTTGACACCAAACCCTTGCATCATCCGATAGGACCGGGGAATGGCGCGGTCCGACATGGCCCACATGAACATGTGAGTGGCTTCTGGGTGCAAATAGCAAAAGTCCCAGAAGTTGTTGTGCGCGGTCTGCGCTTGAGGGACCTCATTATGGGGCTCAGGCTTCACAGCGTGGACTGCGCCAGTTAGTCAAGTCAGGGATAAGAAAATGGATTGGGATGGACGTACCGAAATCAGTGAACTTGATAGCGTCCTGAATGAAGAAAACTGGGATGTTGTTTCCAACCAAGTCCCAATTACCCTCGTCTGTGTAAAATTTGGTTGCGAATCCACGAACATCACGCACCGTGTCGGCGCTTCCCTTGCTGCCCTGCACGGTGGAAAAGCGGACGAAGACCGGTGTATTCCGCGATGTGTCGGTTAAGACCTTGGCATAGGTCACGTCCTCACAGCTTTCGAGTAGCTTAAAGTTTCCAAAAGCGCCGGTTCCACGGGCATGGACGACACGCTCGGGAATCCGCTCGTGGTCGAATCGGTGAATCTAGGATACGATCAGCCCTTGCATACCTCTCCACGATAATCAGCGCAGGCATGTGGAAGTACCTTCTCGCGTGCAATCTGATCCTCTAGCAACGATGGACCTGTGCGACGGTCGTCGACTGACCGCAGCCAATTGTCGGTATTGCTAATGGGCACGCCGTGGTCGGTGGTCTGACGCTGCTCAGTGGTGACATCGACCAGGTCGCGCTCCAAGTCGACCGTCTTCTTGTTCTTGGATGAAGCCGTCTTAACGGCTTCGTGAGCCTTCTCAAGCCCTTCGGCAATGACCGTGGCCATGGTGATACTGTGGGGTTGCTGAAAATAAAGCCAGTGGTAGGGAATTCGATAAGAGCTAATGGATGGCAACAGAAGAATTCCAGCGACCGAGGGGGTGAGCCTACAATTATGTATAGACGATATATGATCATCGAAGCGCTTCCCAGTTCTGCGAGCCAGTCAAACATCCTCTGTAATGGGGGTTGTCGGATTGGCTGTCTGGCACGTAACCATGACGTTGCGACCGAGACGTCACCGTGACTACTTTCTTCCCCAGATCCATCCGGTGCTTAGAATGCTTAGAAATCTGCAGGCTTCTTATCCACCAGATTCAGGGTCTAGACATTGGGCTAAAATCAGGCTGTCTTCCCACGAATGAGTGGTACTTGGAGGCGCTCATTGGAGCGTTCACTGGCGGTGGTAGGGGTGATGTTATGATGTTATTCCCAGTCGGTCCTCATCGGCAAAGGCGGTCCGATAAGCGATAAGGATTGTGATGCATTTGCCATCCAGCATGCACCGCATCATCGTGCGGTTTCCAGGATTGCTGAGCCCTGAAGCCTGAAACCTGAGACAGTGGAGCATCTTTTCTAAGCGTGCATCAATTTGCACTACGGCCATGTGTTGTACCAGTACCTCCAACCAGTGTCTCCGATCGATACCTTGAGGCTTGGCCTCCCGGGAGCATCCATTGTTAGTAACCTCGTATGGATTAGTTCAGTCCAGTCTGACTGTCTACTAGACTAGCGGCTGCACACGCGAAATTGCCGATTACTTGTACCCCGCGTATCATCCGGTTTATGTTCATCCAGACGTGTCAGAACTAGTACCTATCCAAGCTTTGCCGTCGTGCTGCTCGTCCCCGGATCGAATCAATTCGTCGACCACCTCTTCAACCAAGTTCACGCGCCCAGACCATGCGGCAGAGGATCAAGCAACTCGACCTAGACGGTCGCGAGGGCCACGATGCCGTTTTTGAGGCCTCCTACTTG